CAGAGCGGGCCTCTCGGGAGGGAAGGGGCTGGTGAGCAGCGGGCAGAGCGGGCCTCTCGGGAGGGAAGGGGCTGGTGAGCAGCGGGCAGAGCGGGTCTCTCGGGAGGGAAGGGGCTGGTGAGCAGCGGGCAGAGCGGGCCTCTCGGGAGGGAAAGCGAGGTTGCATCGCCCTCTAGCACCCAGGGGGCAGGCGTCTGTGGGGTTCACGTGATGCTGGGCACTCTGGTATGGTTGTCCAATGACTGGGGCAAAAGGAAACTTCTAGAGTTGACATTTTCCCAGGTGGCCTGGATGAAGAGAGGGTCAACAAAGGAAAGAAAGGGGTCTTCAAAGAAGTCATGGAGATGGTGTCTCTTGGAATGTCCTGAGGGGATCTGCTGTGGTGTGGGGGAGGGGTGGGAGGGGATCTGCTGGGGTGGGGGAGGGGTGGGAGGGGATCTGCTGGGGTGGGGGAGGGGTGGGAGGGGATCTGCTGGGGTGGGGGAGGGGTGGGAGGGGATCTGCTGGGGTGGGGGAGGGGTGGGAGGGTTCAGTTACTGCAGCTGCTGTGATCTGGGTGGGACTGTTGGCAGGAGTTGGCGTTGGTGACGGTGCCGAGGTTACAGGTGTGTGGTCCTAGGACGGAGGGAACTGGCGGGGCAGACCGCCTTTGTGACTGGGACACCAGTGGAGATGGCACTGAGAGAGGAGTGGTACGGAAAGCACAGGGAGCAGCGGAGGCTGGGGTTCCCGCAGGATGTCACGAGTTCCAAAGACCTAGGAGTGAGTGCAGGGAGAGGGAGAGCGATGGCTTGGAATGGGATGGAAAAGAACTCCCACCAGCTTCCTGGACTTGTGGCCTGGGTAGCCCGGGCTGCCCCTGGCCCCAGGTCATGGGATGGCGTAGCACAGGCACCTTCTCTGCAGGGGGCCACAGAGGGCTGCTGGTGGCTGGGGGAGGGGTGGGGGGCTGCGTGGGGGAGAGGAGGGAAAGCCCGGAGGACTCAGTGGGCACAGGAAGTTCTCCCTGGAAGCAGCCCCAGCGCGTGGTCTGCCATCCTCCTCCTCATCTGCACAGCGACCCCCTTCTGTGTGACCCTGGTCACCGTCCAGCACTCTCTGCCACACAGAAGCCTGTCCCCACTTGCCTTCTGCCAGTCCCCCCTCCCGGCCCGTGGGGACCACCGACCACCCCTTGGACGGTCTCTGCCTCCGTGAGAATTCAGCA